CGGTGAGAGGGGTAGTCCTATGCTTATACATGGGTGCTCTATCGTGATACCAACCTTAGATAAAACAATTTCAATTCGTTAAATATCGTATTTATCAATGAATTTACAAAGAAATTAGTATCAAATAACTTTTTTTAGTGTTAAGAATATAAAGACGTCCTCGCGATAGACATAAAAGTTAATATTATTGAATTAAAAATATGTTTCATTGAGTTGGATCAGTTATACGTGAGAATCCTATTAATATCTTCCCTTTTCGTTCAATTATCTAAACAATTACATTGTAAATTCGCATTTTTCTTCTTTCAAATTGTTAAAAAATGTTCGAATATTCTATTACACTTTAACTCTTAACGATGTTACCATTTTTAAAAACTGTATTTTAGAATAATGACAAGATTTCTTGTATCTCCCATAAGAGCTCGTGTATAAGGATATAAGTTTGACATAGATTTATTTACAAACTACGTTGTCAATCGTTCTGAAACTTTCACACAATATTTTTCATGCTTCTACTAGTAGATTAAAATAATTTTCAAAACGATTTTATCATATTCATTCCAGTAGCCAACCTCCTTAAGACTGGATGCGAAGTAACAAGAAAAACCCAGTGAATAGAAATAGTAACGAGGACATTTACTATGCAATAGTCGAGTCTCTTTAACTCGCACAGTTCCCGGGGTGGAACGACTGATCTGGCAGCATGATACCACTAACGACCGAGAAAACTATAAAGTTAAATGTTTAATGGTGTAGTAACCGGCGCCATACAAGAGTACCACTAATCTCCTCAGCTCAGATCGACTATAACTATCAACTTCCCATGCTAAATTAATTGTAACAGTTTGCGCGGCAACCCGATGGAACTCGATATCCCTTTCAACGGTTTTATTAATTAACCCAGCAACTCTGTTTACGCGGAAGCTCTAACGGGAAAAAATTTCCACATACCAGGAAAAGAGAGTAATTAAAAAACTGATGAGCTGGATTCAAAGAGTTTCCATGAATTATCGAGTTCGAAGCATGCGGCAAGGCAATGAATTATTAATGCTCGCGGTAAAAGATAAATGTGGGGTATTGCTCGTGGCAAAGTAAACAAACAAACGATGGTCTTAGAGTGGCCATTAATTAGCAGTCGGGTTGAAAATGCTGCGAAATCCTCTTAATGAAACTCGGCTGCGTAAACTCGTAAACAGTGGTTTCATGGAGGAGGGGCTTCTCCTCACAAATCAGGCCGGAACGAGTGTGAAAATAATTAATGGGACAGGGGTGACCGGGTGCACGGGCATTACGCATCGACGTGACAAAATGAGAAGGTTCGAAAATTAAAAGCTTGCTCGAGTCATTAATTATCTGTTCAATTTAAATCGTACTGATTACAGGCCACGGGACTGCCACGATTTCTAGTTTTTTTATTGACACTTCCTGGATCTCACGCCGTCCTCTCGGATTTTATACAAAATTCAACGGAGAATCTTGTTACCTTTAACATTAGAATAACTGAAACTTAGTATATACC